ATCCAGATTACAACTCCTCAGATCCATAAAGGTCACTCTCAGGGGGCAGACTCAGTGAGCACCAAAGCCCCACTGAAACAAGTCTTGCCCCAGAAGGGTGTCTCCAGCACAGAAGTTCTCCCACTATAGACACAGCTGATTCTCATAGCCAATTGGCCTGGAGGTAAATTCCTCCCAGTGATACCTACAACAATCAAGGCTTAACTACAACAACACTGTGCACACAGCCCACAAAGGGGTGCACCAAGAGTGTCCACCTCAGGTAATTGGGGAGGCTGAGCCACTGAGCCCCATAGGACACTCAGCACAGAAAGCCACTCTATCAACACAGGGAAGCATAAAAAATGCGGAGACAAAGAAACAGGTCACAAATGACAGAAATGGAGGAAAGCAAACTACTGGATACAGAGTTCAAAACCAAACTTATAAGGTTTCTCAAGAATTTTCTAGAAACCGCCGATAAATTTAGTGAGACCCTCAAGAAATCTAGTAAGACCCTCGAGGATATGAATAAGGACCAACTAGAAATTAAGCATACACTGACTGAAATAAAGAATATTATACAGAGTTCCAACAGCAGACTAGAGGATCGCAAGAATCAAGTCAAAGATTTGAAATACGAAGAAGCAAAAATCACCCAACCGGAAAAACAAAAAGAAAAAAGAATCCAAAAATATGAAGATAGTGTAAGGAGCCTCTGGGATAACTTCAAGCGTACCAATATCCGAATTATGGGGGTGCCAGAAGAAGAGAGAGAGCAAGATATTGAAAACCTATTTGAAGAAATAATGACAGAAAACTTCCCCCACCTGGTGAAAGAAATAGACTTACAAGTCCAGGAAGGGCAGAGAACCCCAAACAAAAGAAATCCAAAGAGGACCACACCAAGACACATCATAATTAAAATGCCGCCGAAGCCAGTTTGGCTCAGTGGATAGAGCGTCGGCCTACGGACTCAAGGGTCCCCGGTTCGGTTCCGGTCAGGGGCATGTACCTGGGTTGCGGGCACGTCCCCGGTGGGAGGTGTGCAGGAGGCAGCTGATCGATGTCTCTCTCTCATCGATGTTTCTAACTCTCTATCTCTCTCCCTTCCTCTCTGTAAAAAATCAATAAAATATATTTTAAAAAAAAATGCCAAGAGCAAAAGACAAAGAGAGAATCTTAAAAGCAGCAAGAGAAAGACAGTCAGTTACCTACAAGGGAGTACCCATACGACTCTCAGCTGATTTCTCAACAGAAACTATGCAGGCCAGAAGGGAGTGGCAAGAAATATTCAAAGTGATGAATAGCAAGAACCTACAACCTAGATTACTTTACCCAGCAAAGCTATCATTCAGAATTGAAGGTCAGATAAAGAGCTTCACAGATTAAGAAAAAGCTAAAGGAGTTCATCACCACCAAACAAGTATTATATGAAATGCTGAAAGGTATCCTTTAAGAAGAGGAAGAAGAAGAAAAAGGTAAAGATACAAATTATGAACAAAAAGTACACATCTATCAACAAGTGAATCTAAAAATCAAGTGAATAAATAATCTGATGAACAGAATAAACTGGTGAATATAATAGAATCAGGGGCATGCGGGAAGAGACTGGACAAAAATCGTACACCTATGGATGAGGACAGTGGGGGTGTGGGGTAAGGGCAGAGGGTGGGGTGGGAACTGGGTGGAGGGGAGCTATGGGGGGGAAAAAAGAAGAACAACTGTAATAATCTGAACAATAAAGATTTAATTTTTAAAAAAAAAGGAAACATACCACCCTAACTGGTTTGGCTCAGTGGATAGAGCGTCAGCCTTCGGACTCAAGGGTCCCAGGTTCGAGTCTGGTCAGGGGCATGTACCTTGGTTGCGGGCACATCCCCAGTAGGGAGTGTACAGGAGGCAGCTGATCAATGTTTCTCTCTCATCGATGTTTCTAACTCTCTATCCCTCTCCCTTCCTCTCTGTAAAAAAATCAATAAAATATATTAAAAAAAAAAAAGGAAAATGCCTAAAACCAAGTTATCACCATTCCTGCAAACAGCTCCTTCTCCCAGCTCAAGTCCTATCATTCTCCTGAAGTTACTCAGGCTCAAACCTCAAGAGCAGCAGTTCTCAACCTGTGGGTCGCAACCCCTTTGGGGGTCGACCGACCCCTTCACAGGGGTCGCCTAAGATCATCGGAAAACACATATATAATTACATAGTGTTTTTGTGATTAATCACTATGCTTTAATTATGTTCAATTTGTAACAATGAAATTGGGGGTCACCACAACACGAGGAACTGTATTAAAGGGTCTCGGCATTAAGAAGGTTGAGAACCACTGCTCAAGAGGCAGCTTCATCTCTAATGTTCTCTTCCCCAACTCCCTTTTTCAAACAACCATCAATTCTTACTGATTATTCCTTCAAAAAGTCTCTCATGTGAACGATTTCTTCCCATTACCCAGTTCAGACCCCTATTAGTTCACATCTGAATTATTATCACACTGCAGCCTGATTCATCTTTCTCTGGCTCACTTGGATCCCATCACTTCCTGCTACTTTCTGCCAAATGAAGGCAACATTCTGATATTGCTCTTAAAGCCCAAAATAATCTGGACTCAAATTATCTGTGATTCACAGAACATACCTTGAGATGTCTAGTCTCTCATCCCATGTCCTCCTTTTCCTTTCTGCTTACTGAAATTCTGTCAATTTTTTAAAGAACCAACCTAAATTCTACTTCTTCATAAACACTTCTCTGATTCTAGAGATCTTCCTCACTTTTCAGAGAATAATGATAGGGAACTTGTCTATCAACTATCAAAATATATAAGGGCATATTAATTAAAAACAGTTTTGGTATTAACACAAGACAAATAGATCAACGTTAACTGGATAGAGTCCAAATATAAACCCTGCCTGCATGGGAATCCATCTATATATATAAAAGCCTAAGTGACTGATTGACCATTTGACCAGTAGATGTGACACGCACTGACAACCAAGGGGCAGATGCTCAACGCACAGACATGGAAACATGGAACAGACTGATAAATCTCAGAGGGAAGCGGGGAGGATGGGAGGATGGGAAAGTCTTAAGATCTTATAAGCATACTAGAGGCCCAGTACACAGATTCGTGCACTAGTGGGGTCCCTTGGCCTGGCTTGTGAAAATCGGCTGAAACCGGGAGTCCAACATCCCCCAAGGGGTCCCGGATTGCGAGAGAAAGCAGGCCAGGCTGAGGAACCCCACCGGTGCATGAATCCGTGCACTGGGCCTCAAATTTAATAATAATAATAATAAGGTGATATTTCAAATCAGTAGGAAAAGGGTGACCTATTCCATAAATGTTAGGACAACTGATGATCTATTCATAGAGAAAATAGGAAAGTTAAATCCCTACCTCATATTTAAAACTTTAAAAGTACTGGAAAAAATATAGAATATGTTTATGACCTATTATAGCATAGGGAAGAAATATAAATGCATAAAGGAAAAGACTGATTAAAATTTCCATACAATAAAAAACAGTAAACAAAATTAAAAGACAAGTTATAGGCTGGGCAAAAAGTTTGCCTCAGACATGGTATCCAAAGGATGCATATTCAGAATATATACAGAAGTCCTTTAGGTCAACATAAAAAAAGACAACAGAAATTTGCACAGAAGTATCAAAGGAGAAGAAATGCAAAGATCCAATGAAAATATGAAACAACATTCAACTATGCCAGTAATCAGGGAAAATAAAAATTGAAAAAAAACACTGAGACCATTTTTTATTAGATTAGTAAAAAATTTAAATGCTAATAATATTAAAAAGAGATATTGTGGGCGAAGGTGTAATATGACATACTGATGGCATATAGGTTTGTTCTGCTGTACTAACAATTAATGTGTGTTTTTTTGTTTGTTTTTGGGTTTTTTGTGTGGTGTTTTTTTTTTATCAATTAATTGTAGGCGCCACTGCACTCGGACCAGCCAACAATTAATGTTTTAACTGCAACTATCTTATGACCCAATAATTTCATGTTCCTTGAAGAAACACAGGTGCACAAAAAGGCAATTGTGCTACAAAAGAAGCAATTTTACTACAATGACGTAATAGTAAAAAACTGGAAACAATGTAAATGTCCATCACTAAGGAAATGGTTATAATACATACAATATTCAATACTATGAAACTTAAAGAAATGAATATAGAAGACAGCTAAGGAAAAATCTCTAAAACATATTGTTGCCTGAATCACTAAGACCAATACCAAATGATAATATTTATGTAAATAAAATATATTTCTAAGAATACACATTCATAGGAATGAAATTTAAAAAATTCTGAACAGGTATATACCAAATTGGTAGTAGTGATTATCTATTAAGCAGAGAATGGGCTTGGGAGGTGATTATAAGAAATTAAAACACTATCTATAATAATAAAAGTGTAATATGCTAATTAGACCAGACGACCATCTGGGACCACACTATGACACCCACTGGCGCCAGGCCAGCCAAAGCGGGTGTGATGCGACAGGTCGGGGGCCCGGCCATCGCCCCATCACCGGGCCTCTACTGAGATAATAAATATTTATTATCATTTTAAGTCACTAAGCTTTGAGGCAATTTGCTACATAGCCAATTACACTTTATCTATAGATATATGTTTACCTTTTGTAAATACATATATTGCCTTTTAACAAATAATGTGTTTTTAAAACCTCTTGCCCAAACATAATTTACTCATTCAAATTATATTAAAGCATGATTTCATCAAGATTCTGACAAAGGTAAAAAATAATTATTAAGTCAGCAAAACACTTTTGTTTAAAAGAGCAAAAATAAAAAGGAAATATATTTCTGGCTAATTCTTCTAAGTCTTCCGTTAACCACCACCCCTTGTTTATGTCGTTTAACTACATTAGTTCATTGGCTTAAAAACAGATTTTAATGAAATACTTTTTAAAAGCTGAAGACAGACAGAGGCATAAATGATCCACTGAAAAGCAGTTAGCATAGTCACAAAGCCACTGAGTTCTTACCACCATAAAAGCGAAGCATGCAGCCGAGGTCGGGATTTGCTGCCTCCTCCTGTATGCGCACAGGGTCATCATAGCCCAGCCTGGATAAGTAATCATAAACTATCTGAAGAGGTCGTTCGGTGGGTTCCAATCTCCTGCTTGCACAATTCAAAAGAAAAATATTTAGTAACTAATAAAAATGCTTCATCTCATTTTTCAAATCTTTTATTATGTTTTAGATGTTCAGTTCTATATCAAGATTTCCTTTAATATCATATAATCTAAGTAAGCGATGCTGAAAGTTTTTGGTTCCATGATCCCTCTGTGATCTTTGAGGACCCCAAAGAGCTTTTGTTTACATAGGGGTTGATATCTACTGAATTAAAAACTAAAATTAAGAATTTCCAAACTTTTGTTTATTCGTTTCCTGATTTTTTGTTTATTCATTTTTAAGCAACAATAATAAACCAATGACGTTAACATAAATAATATCCTTTGAAAAATATCTTTTCCAAAATGAATCAACTTTGGAGAAAAGAATAGCACTTTCACATTTTTGTAAATTGCTAATTAAATAGAAAACAGCTAGATTCTCAGATCTGCTTCTAAAGTCAATCTGCCATGGTAACATGCTATTTACCCTCTAGAAAACTCTTCTGTACATGCATGAGAGACTGAAAGTAAAAAAAGAAAATCAATGTCTTCTTATTATTATGAAATAGTTTTGACCGCACAGATCTCTTCAAAGAGTCTCAGGGACCCCTACAAGGTCCATTAAGAACCTCTGGTCCAAACTTAAAGGCGGCAAATTTATGAGATATAAAAGATTATACGTGGTCATATCTGATTTCACATAAGCTACACACACAATTAGAGCTGCAGACTTTGGATTGCCTACTATTTTCCAGGAACTTTGTATTTCCACTGGCTTCATAGTCACTTCTTCCAAAAAAATTAGGAATAAAATGGCCCAATATGTCCCCAGAAATCATTATACTGCATGATCCTGACTGAAAGCTAAAATAAAATCAGAATGTCGAGTAACCATTTGTGGCTCCTAGTGACACGGCATATTTTAAATCACATAGACTTAAAATACTTAAAAATATTTAAAAAACAAGATTATCAATATGTATTTTTATGGCCAGGACTACAACAGTAATAAAAACAAGACAACTCTTTTACAATTCTTTTATAAGAAAACAAATAGTTAGAAATACAGTGGCTAAGAGTATAGGCTCCAAAAGTCAGTTCTGCCACTTAACTACATGCCCTTGGACAAGCTGTTTAACCTCATTGTCTTAAATTCTTCATCAGTCTAATGGAAATAACAACAGTACCTAACTCATGCAGTTGTTTTTAAATTTATTTACTTACAACAAGATATTACATAGTATGTAAAGTACAGTACTTAGAAAAATATCTTGTATGTAGTAGTGTTCAATAGCATATCAACAATTAATATTTAAAAAATCTTAGGACTAGAACCAAATTTTACTTAGAATAAAAACAGAATATTCCCCACCTGAAAGAAACAAAGAACAGGTATAGGAAAGTCTATGTATACTCAAACGGTTTTGAAGAACCTTAGTCTTTATGTCTTAAAAGGATTCTGTTTAGAAAACTTAAGAATTGTATTAATTAGAAGCAACACAATACACCTCCCCAATCATGGCAAAAATATATGAAGGACAACTGTTTTGTGGTTAAAGAACTAGGAAATACTGTTGCCAGTAAGATTTAAGTAACGACATGAATGCTACAAAGCTGAAGGTAAAGAAATGCATCAAAATGATAACTGAGGAAGGAGCCCAGCCACAGTGGCTCAGTGGTTGAGCATTGACCTATGAACCAGGAGGTCACTGTTCCATTCCCTGTCAGGGCACATGCCCAGGTTGTGGGCTCAATTTCTAGCAGGGAGTGTGCAGGAGGCAGCCAAACAATGATTCTCTCTCATCATTGATGTTTCTATCTCTCTCCCTCTCTTCCTCTCTGAAATCAATAAAAATATACTTTTTAGAAAATGATAATTGAGGAGTGGAAATCATACTGATGAGCACAAAAAAATAAACTAAACTAAGCTAAAATAAATAAGATAAAATAAAACAATCACCTGGCCCCTCTGACTGCTCAGTTCAGACTTTTATTTTCTATAAACTCGGAACTACTACATGGAGAATGACCAAAGAACTAAAAGCCTACGAAGACCAATAAATGTTGAATTTAATCCAAACAAAAAATAATCTTTTCAGGATAAACACATCAGTTACAATTAATCTTTAGTCAGATAAAATAAAAATTCACCAAGGGCTATGACAGTAGTAGGCATTTTCGCCACACAGTGGTAGAATTCTTCTAAGAAAGATGCATTTTAAGACGGACTTCTAATAAACTGTCTCCTGGAAAAGTCAATTAGCCATGTAATATGAAAACTGACTGAAGGATTAACTTGAAGACAAAGAGTCCAAGGGCGTAAAGAGCTATCTATATCTTCCATGTCAAAAGGAATTAGACTTACTCTGGATTGCTCCAAAGAATGGGACTAGGAAGAATGAGAAGTTGCTGCACAGGTAAACGGGTTAAAAATGAGGAAGAATATTGGAGCTGTCCATAATGAAACAGACTGCCTCTCAAAATAGCTCACAGAGCTAGGAAGCCATCTGTCACCAATATTTTAAAAGACTCCTTAAGAACCACATTGGGCCAGCTCATCTTTAGGGTCTTTTAGAACTCAAGCGTCTATTCCATTTCCAAGATATCTTCCTAATATAACCCTGCTATTATTTTTGGATACAGAGTTTAATGTATTTAAATATCAAAATTCCATATAATGATCACATATTCAGGACCAAGAAATAATACTTTCAGGTTAAATCTCACTAGCTCAATTTTTCAACTTCTCTCTAGAAAAACCAAGGGAAATGTAAACATCCTAATTCTAATATTCAAATGACCAAATTTCCTTTCCTAAAAAGGCTCTGTAGATTGATGTATTATAGAACTATACACCTGAAACCTATAGTTTTATTAACCAATGTCACCCAATAAATTCAATAAAAAATAAAATTTAAAAAAAGGCTCTGTTGATTTTGAAACCTCTCTATATTATAATTTCCACCTAAAGAAAGTATTTTCTCCGGTGGGAGAAAAAAAAATCAAGAGGATCTCCACATCTGCTCTTACTAATTTAGCATAAATGAGTAAACAAGAAATATTTCAAGAACTGCAAAAACAAGTAAAATGAGGGACTAATTCCATTTACTTATTAAACTCATCTGCTTAAAAGAGTAGAGAGTAAGGGGGAGGGAAATGCTGTAATATGCTTACAGATCAATTTTGTGTTTCAAAGTTCCAAAAGTTTAACAGGCTGGTAATCAGCTATTGTTAAAACTCTCACATATCAAAGGAAAATTATACATGGTACTGTTAAACAGGTGTAGGAGAGAGTAATGTTGGCAATGAAAGGATCACAACACTCAGCATTTGAAATATTCTAACTTGCTTTAAAGCAAGACAGTAAGACTACTGAAATAGTTTTAGTTTGCTTCTAAGGTTTCTAGGAGCTACCATGTCCTTGTGAATCTGAATATATATGCATATGGTTATTTCTCAACCAATACAGTAATGCTATCAACACTGGTTTATAGTTCTTAGCTAATAGTAGCCAACAGTTATTTTAAATAGTATCCACAATTAAGAGAGGAATAAATTTCATTCCAACTAACATTTCACAAGAATTTTTAGTTAAGGCCCTAGCCCAGTGGTCGGCAAACTGTGGCCCCTTGAGTGTGGCTCTTCCACAAAATACCACGTGTGGACGCGCACGTACAGTGCAATTGAAACTTCGTGGCCACACTCAAGGGGCCAAGAGCTGCATGTGGCTCACGAGCCGCAGTTTGCTGACCACTGCCCTAGCCGGTTTGGCTCAGTGATTGGAATGTTGGCCTGAGGTCTGAAGGGTCTCGGGTTTCATTCTGGTTAAGGGCACATACCTCGGTTGCAGGCTTGATCCCTGACCCCAACCAGGCCGAGTGTGGGAGGCAACCAATCAATGTGTCTCTCTAGCACAGTGATGGCGAACCTTTTGAGCTGGCGTGTCAGCATTTTGAAAAACCCTAACTTAACTCTGGTGCCGTGTCACATATAGAAATTTTTTGATATTTGCAACCATAGTAAAACAAAGACTTATATTTTTGATATTTATTTTATATTTTTTTTTAAATATTTTATTGATTTTTTACAGAGAGGAAGGGAGAGAGATAGAGAGTTAGAAACATCGATGAGAGAGAAACATCAATCAGCCGCCTCCCGCACATCTCCCACTGGGGATGTGCCCACAACCCAGGTACATGCCCTTGTCCAGAATCGAACCCGGGACCCTTCAGTCTGCAGTCCGACGCTCTATCTACTGAGCCAAACCGGTTTCAGCTATTTTATATATTTAAATGCCATTTAACAAAGAAAAATCAACCAAAAAAATGAGTTCACGTGTCACCTATGACACGCATGTCATAGGTTCGCCATCACTGCTCTAGCATAAGTGTTTCTCTCTCTCTCCTACCCTTCCCCTCTCTCTAAGAAATCAATGGGAAAAATAACCTCAGGTTAGGGTTAACAAGAACAAAAAATTGTTATTAATAATAGTGAGAGGTGCCCTAACCGGTGTGGCTCAGCGGAGAGAGTGTCGGCCTGCGGACTCAAGGGTCCCAGGTTCGGTTCTGGTCAAGGGCATGTACCTTGGTTGCAGGCACATCCCCAGTGGGGAGTGTGCAGGAGGCAGCTGATCAATGTTTCTCTCTCATCGATGTTTCTAACTCTCTATCCCTCTCCCTTCCTCTCTGTAAAGATCAATAAAAATATATTTAAAAAAAATAATAGTGAAAGGCAAAAGTTCATATTATTGAAATCCAAGAAAGGGAATAATACATTATATCAATGACCCTAACAAAACAGTGCAGTGCTCTCGACATCAAATTCAGACTAAAACTCAATCCCTGGCCACCTATAAAGGTAAAATCTGCAAATGTTAAGATCAGCAATATAGATTAATAAGACAAACAGCAACAATAAGGATACTTCAATGTCTACTCCATGACTGACAATAGGCTAGAAGTGTTTTACATTTTACAAGGCTATGCCTATTTTGCAAAAAAGA